ACCATGAAAAGACATGGAGGAAATTTAAATGCATATTACTAAAAGAAAGCACCAATATGAAAAGGCTACATACTATACAGTTCCAACTATATCACTTCTGGAAAAAGCCAAAATAGAAAAAATAATAAATATCAAGAGTTTCCAGGGGGTTGGTGGGGTGAAGTGGGGAAAGGAGATATGAATGGGAACACAGAATTTTTAGGGCACAGTGGTGCACACCTGTAATCCCAGCAACTTGAGAGGCTGAGGCAAGAGGATCACCAGTCTCAGCAGCCTCTTCAACTTAGTGAGGCCCTAAGCAACTTAGTGAGACCCTGTCTCAAAATAAAAATTAAAAAGGGATGGGGGAGTAGCTCAATGGTAAAATGCCCCAGGGTTCAATCCCCAGTACCAAAAAAATAAAATAAAATGATACTATAATAGTGTGTACACATCATTATACATTGACCCACACCCCAAAAATACACAATCCCAAGAGTGAATTATAATGTAAACTATGGTCTTTGGGTGATGGCGATGTTCCAAAATAGGCTCATCAGTTGTAACAAATGTGCCATCCCGGTAGGAGATGCTGATAACAGGGAGACTATACAAGTGTAGAAGCAGAGTATAGAGGAAATCCTTGCACCTTTATTTTGCTTAAACTTAAAACTGGATTCAAAAAAATGAAGTCTTTTTAAAAATAAAGGGAGCCAGAGGTACAGTGCACACCTGTAGTTCCAGCTATTCAGGAAGCCCAGACAGGAGGATTGTCTGGGCAAGAGAGAACGAGAGAGAGCGAGAGAGAGAAAGACAATAAAATGTAGTCCATCAGAAGTACCAGTTAAGGCTATCCAAGAATCAATGCCAGTCCCCACCCCACTCCAACAATAATATTCATGGCACACAAACTCCTTCTCCTTCCCTCTACCATGCAAAACAGTTTTGGGCTTAGTTAGCTTTGAATCATGTATTTTTAAAAGTGTGTCTTATTTCCATATCTTTCCAATTGTTCTAATAAGGACAATTTCTGAGCAATACTGGTAATATTAATAGATAATATCAACTTAAAAATTCTTCCATGTTGCTAAAGGGCTTAATTAGTAAATGTGTGCTGTAATATGTCTGTTGGAAAATCTGCTTTAGTGACTAATTCTTCAGGGGATAACTCCTCAGAGGTTGAGCTTGTGAATTAATACTCTCTTATGAAACACTTTTTTGAGCCAAGTTGGGGCTTAGAAGAGGGAGAAGTGAAAATTCTCTTGTCACCTCTTCCAGACTCTTTGTAAAGCTCTAGGCAATATCAAGAGAGACATTCTGTACAAACAAGCCTCACCACTGAGGGTCAGGACGCGGAGAGACCAAATGGAAAGAGACAGCTCAGCAGCCTTGGATTAAAGGGCAAATATTTTACAGTCAGTGTAGTCGATTACGTCAGACAGACAGACAGACCCAGGGCACTTTTTGTAGCAGATGGATACTGTAGCAAGGTAAAAAGTTCAGCACCATACACTTACAGACTGAAAGTATTCCCAGGAAGGAAACATTTGGTTTTGAAAGAATTGTTTTAATGGAGTTGAGAGGTCTCGTTATAACTATCACTACAAATGTGGGTTTCCAGCAAATAGGAATCTTTACAGACTGAAGCAGTGCTAGCCAACAGAACTCTCATGATGGACATGCTTTATATTTGCACTGTCCAAGATGGTAGCCACTAATCACATGTGGCTGCAGAGCAATGTGAAATGTGGCTAGTGCAAATGAAGAACTGAATTTTAACTTGAATCAATTTTAACAAAAGAGCCACATGTCGGTAGCAGCTTGGAATTTACCCACATGTATAATTATAGGAAAGGGCTTAGAACATGATTTGGGTTATCACAAGAAAATCTCATGTACATTCTTACCACCTGGAAAAATACTTTATCAGTTCCTTCACTACACACACACACACACACACACACACACACACTTTGTAGGATGTTACTACACCAGAAACCATCAGACAGAGCAGTGCTTCTCAAATTTTAGCATCCATCAGAATTCCCTGGGTGTCCTGTTAAACACCCATTACAAGGCCCACTCCTAGAGATTCTGATTTGTTAGGTCTGTACATATCTAATAGGTACCCAGGTAACTCTAATGTTACTGGTCCAGGGACCACAATTTGAGTGGCTCTAAAAAAAACCCCTTTCAACATCAAACATCAGCCTACTCCTACCAAAGTAAAGCTTCTTTCACTTGTCACATGTCTTCCACGTAGAAGTGCCTCTTTCATCTAGGCACGTAGAATCCTTCTCAAGCATTCTTAAAGTTTTGCTTCACATATAGGATTATAAGTGCGTGGCAGACGGCAAATAAGCAAGACCCCCTACAATGACTTCTCTGCATATTAGATCCAGAATAGAGTGCAGTTGGTATAAATTTTGTGAACAAGTCTAATAACCACAGGGACCAGAAACTTAGTAAGGGGGGAATTCAAATATGTCAGGACAGTTTACATCAAATCCCTGTACTGGCCCTATCTTAGAGAGATGAACTGAGGCTCTTTACTAAAATAATGTGGATTACTTCAGATCAAGCCAAAATCACAGCTTCCTACACCATTTCAACACATAGCACTGGAAACATCAAAAAAAACACGTGCTGTATTTAAACATTTTATTAATCCCTCCAAGGTCAGATATTGAAGATAATAACCCTTTTCCATATCCCTCCCCCCTGCAAAAAAAAAAAAGAAGAAGGAATAGAAATATAAAGGTTCTGTAATAAAAGCAAATCTCTCCAGTCTCTGGTCTTTATTACATTACTTGCAAAAAAAAAATTGGTCTGGGACAGCAGTCATTTGGGAAAATATCTTTCTTCTGGAGGTTATGTCTTTCTGTCCTTTGGTCTAATTATACATGAGTCACTTTAACAGTAAGAGATCACCTGACTGTCAAATGCAATTTCCTTGACTGCTCTTCTGAACAACCTTCTTTCTGCCTCACCCACCCTTCCTTTCTTTGCAAAGGGAAGCCTTCCTCCAGAATAGACCGCTGCAATGAACTAGAAGGTGACACTTTCAAGGAAAATTGGAAATCCAGCACTGTTCATCATTTCCCCCACTACTAACCCAGCCCTCTTCAAACTCTCCCAGTTCCTGTCACTACCATCAGAAGGATCAGGAGTGATTCTTGGGGTCCTAAAAATCTGGGGGGACAGTTGTTAAGCATTTACAAAGCCCCCAGGTAGTCAGTCAGTCATACGGTATTATGTGTATTACTTCCTGGGGCTGCCAAGGTATTAAGGTGTTTGTAGGTACAGACAGGGAAACGGAAGCAAAAGAAAGTTCAATGTTTAGGACACAGGCCCAGAGAAACTTGGAGCGAGATTAACCCCTGTATTCTTCAGCTGTGGTTCTCAACCAGGACAATTTAGCTCCCCAGGAAACATTCTGCCATGTTTGGAGATGTTTTAGAGAGTCATAACCATTGGGGGAGTCACCAGCATTTAGTGGCTAGCGGCTAAACCTCCTACAATGACATAGGACAGCTGACACTAGAACTGCCTGTTTCAAAACATCAATACCACAAAGGCTGGAAACCCCTGGTGCCCCAGCATCTCCCGCATGACTTCCTTTGGCCCCTCATCAATGGTTTAATATGGCTTCCTCTACAATTTGATCCTTGTCCAGCATTTCCATAGAAACATGCCAGTCAAGTGCTATCTATCTATATGTGAGCCAACAAGGGAGGCTAGCAAAGCCTGGCTCCACGCTCATGAGAAAACCTAGCAAAGGCCAGTTCCTCTTGAGAGCACCCTCCAGGCCTCTGCTGAGGTCTGCATCCGGCCACTCACCTGGACTCCCACGCATGGCTGGCATGCTTAGCAGCTGCCTCTCCCTCCCTGTTTTGCTTATCTCCAATCGCGCACATCACTTGAGAGCAGTAATGATGTACGTTTATGGGAATCTCCAGAGATCTGCAGCCCTTAATTGTCTATTTTGTTCAGTAAATTGTACTCATTACTGAGCCACATGAGGCACCTAAATACATCAGCCTTTCTGGGTGCTCTCTGTTGGAGCCTGGGTAATGGAACATTATCTAGCAAGGCCTCTGCAGTATTGAATCCAGCTGCTTAAAACAATCCTCTACCTGGTTTTTCAGCTGATACTTCTTTTTTTGTAACTTCCAGTCCCTCTTTCTTAACCATCCTTAGGTCAGCTTAGATTAGCATTAATCATAATTTTCTTTTCAATTAGTTTGGTTTGAGTTTAAGCTCTAGAAGTTGGAGAGCTCAGAGAGACAGTGGTGTCTTTTCAACCCTTCCTTCCTGGACTTCCACCTGAGCTCTGAGAAGGGCACACCCAACAGTGGAGGCTTCTGCTGGTCTTGAAAATCTTCAGCGTAAACAATTACTCAGAGTCAGCTTTGGGTATGATGTGGCCACATGCACCAGGGGCTACAAGCAGATGGAGAATGAGTGGGCATGTGGCTTCCGGTGACACTGGATGAAATAAAGCGGAACAGACTGAACCATGTGCTTTGTTAGTGCTAATATGCTCCAGACCAGGAAGCTATTTCCTCCGTGGAGAAAAAAAAAAAAAATGATCAGCAAAGGAAAAGTTAAGCAGAGTGATCTGTGGAGAAAGAGGATAGCGGGCAAGAGAAATATGAGAGAGCAGAGCTAACGATATGATTAGCTTCAAGAAAAAGGCTACCAGATCCCATTCCCCCTTCTACAGAACCCCATAGAGAGGCCCAGTAACCCTTCCCATAGAAATCACCTCCCATATGAACTCACTAAAAATTCCTGTGCTGAGACATTTCCACACACAGAATCCATAGCATCTCCTGGAACACAATGTTCTCTTTATAATTGCTGATTTGCATGGTGTCTGTGAGTCAAATCAATAAAGCTGTGGGAGCCTTTCATAGGCAGGGCGTCCCACTTCACTGACTCCAGAAGCCTGGTGAGACAAGAGCCCCTGTGACTTGGCAAAGCCAGAGAAACAATGGCAAGGAGAGCCTTTGCCTTACCCTGGAGTAGAGGGTGTGGAAGCCTTCAAACGTGCTTACATCCTCACGACCCATCGGCTCTGCTGTTCGCCACTCGCTCACTTCTGCATGTTGGACCACGACCAGTGGATCACCAACTGCCAAGTAAAAAAATGCATGACTGCATCAGTCCAAGTGCCACAAGAAAGCAGGGAGCTGAAAATCCAAACCTTGGTTCTTGTGTTTCAACAAAAGAAAATTTGAACTCAATACCAAAAGTCATGCAAGAGAACTTAGAATAGGTAAAAGTAAAGTAAAAGCAAAGTGAGGCTTAGGCAGAAAGCACTCTTGAGAGAGAGAGAGAGAGAGGGCGGGCCATCTCTGAGCAGAGAGCAACAATGCAGACAACACTACCTCCAAATGTATTACTGTTTGCTGTTTGCCAGGAGAGTTGGGGACCATCTTCTGTGGACCCTGTCAAGAGTTAGTCCCATTAATCCTTTTATTTTGAGGTATTTTCCCATTAGCTCCTTTGCTCCTGTTTATTTTCTACAATTAACTACCACCGTTTGCTTTCTCCTCTACTTTGGAAGTAAGTTTAAAGAAGACCCTAAAGTAATTTAAAGAACACTTGTGACCATGCCGTGCATTTCACTGCTCATTGCTAGCTGCTACCTAACACAAGGACCCACCACTCAAGTCTCAAGCCACTGTTTGAGTGAGTTTGTTAGAGTCGTCCAAGTGCTTAACTCACAGACCCAAACCTCTATTAATGGTTTGGGCTCAATAAAAGTTCAGTATTGGTTCCTGCATGCACACAGGATGGGTGGAGGTCAATTAGTGGGGTGGCATAATACAGTGATCCAGGTACACAGGCTGAAGCAGGTCTGCATCTTTAAATCATAAGTTCCGAGAGGTTCTTTCCATTCTAGCCAGCTAGGAATGGGAAAGGGAATTTGCATCTGTGTGTGGTCTCCCTTTCCTGCTTAAACTGGTTTACAGCACTTTTTCCACTTCCATGCACATTCTGTTGGTTGGTTAAAACTCAATCACACAGCCACACCTAATCCCATGGGTTGAGCAACTAGCAATCTTTACCATACAAGGCTGATTCCAGCCCAGTCAAGAAGATAACTTTAAGGTTAGAGCAGGGAGTTCTGGGTAAGACATGAGCACACTAACTTTGACTTAAGTTACTTAACTCTAGGTCTCAGTTTCCTCATCTGTAAAATGCCCTGCCTCCCTCCCAGGGCCAAGGGAAGATTCAAAATGAAATCAAGCAGCTCTTCTCAGACTTTCATGTGCATGCGAACAGTCTAGGCATTTTGATAAAATCTAGATTCTGATTTGGTGATGTCAGTTTCATGGGTGAGGCCTGATCTACTGCATTTCTAATAAGTTCCCAAATGATGTCAACGCTGCCGTCCTCTGCCCACACTTTGAATAGAAAAGAGATGCAGGATTAGAGAATATTTTCATAAATTTTATACACAAAGTGACTTGCAGATATAAAGAATTCTTGCAGTGATAATCACCTGAATAGATTGTAAATGAGTTCCTGGCTTAGCCAGCATTTTAAAGATGCATTCAGTCTAGAATTTCATAGAGTCATAAAATTTTCAAACAAGAAAAAAGTTAAGTAGTCACTGCTCTCTTTCCTTTTGGTCAGACAAGGAAACTCAGAGAAGTCAGTGTTGGCCTCTGCTCCAATTTCAAAATCACTTAGCAGTATGCCAGGACTAGAATACAGAAATTGGTCTTTTCTCTTTATTACATGAACTTGATCAATAACCTCCTAAAGAATACATAATGTTTAATTCTCCAGCTAAAGAAAGAACAAATATTACTCTGGCCTATTCTCCAAAAAAATCCCAGAAGGTGGCATTCACCTGCAAGGATCACCACAGGTCTCAGTGCCGGCAAGTGTCACAGGACACAGATCAAGAGATTTTCAAGAAAACATCCCTTGCAATGCAATGATTCTCTGCCAAAATTAATTTCTCATGTATCCAAAATGGGGGTGGAACACAAGATAACCTCTGCGTTCCTTCTGGCAAAAAAACATTTTTTTTTTTTTTTTACTTTCAAAATATACAAACTCTGAGTCAGTGCTAATTGGTGACAATTAGTAAAAAGAGAGAATTAGGGATTGCAAATAGTAAAGGGACATAAAATAATGGACTAAAGAGGAACACTGGTTTCTGTGTTACATCGTGGGTACAAATAAAGGAATGAAAGGAATTTTTGTTTACTCCTTGCCATGTAAATTATTCTGCATCTTTAAGATCTTGGTGGGTCCTAGGAACTTACAATAGAACATGAGATGTAGTACCTCACTAGTGAAAGAGTCAAAATTCCAAGTCATAAATCAGAAAGGCAATAATATGTGGAAATAAAATTAGATTGTGGGAGATGGGAGCTCCTTGGTATGCACATCATCACCAATAAAACAAGTGAACTTGAAAGTGTTTGAGGGAAATTAGGAGAGTACCTATTAAGCAAGGAATGATGAATGAAAATGGAAATCAATACTTGCATATCCATTATTAACTTCAAATGGGGTAAAATGCTATTCTTAGCATCTTCTTATGGTGACCAATTTCAAACATTTTAATGAAGGTAAAATGTTCCTAAAAACTTCCACGGGTTTATTCCTAGACTCTACCCCAACACTATTTCGCCATAATGTCCTTGTTCCACAACTGAGAGGTCTTCCATCTTGGCAATTTCCAGAGTCTAATCTAGACTCTAGACTCCTTACCTTATTTTTGTGTGGTAGACCCTTTTGCTAGACTGTTGAAGCCCAAGGACTCCCTTCTCAGAATAACTGTTGGACTGCAGGTAAGATAAAGTGCACAAAATAACTAATTAAGTGAATTATATGTAAATGCTCTCCTGTACACACAGACTTGGGGAGTCCAGGGACCCAACTTAAGAATATCTGATTGGGGGATGACTATTCTAGAATGATAGAAGTTTTTTCTTACAGGAAAGAATATGCAGAAAAGTTTTAAAACTCACTGATACACAGCAAAACAACCCTCAGTAAGTGAAGAAAAGAAAGAGTTGCAAAGAAAAGCCTGACCTTCGATTTCTGCCTATACTAAAGCTATTCATGCTGGGACTTTAAAATCCTGTATCAAGAAATTCCTCAAAGGACTTTCTTGACCCATTCCTGCAGACACAGCATTTTCTGTGTCCTGATGTCACAGGACACAGGTGAAGGAAGGTGACATTGGAGAAGAGAAGACTGTAGTGAGTCCTGTATTTGGGTCCTAATCCCCCGACCGATTCTTTGCTACAAACCAACTTCTGAGGTCAACTCATGCATCTCTGAGTTGAAACTCCCTGTCTAAAAAACTGAGCAGGTTAAGTTAGACCATCTCCAACATTTTCTCCAACTCTGACCTGTCAGGATTCTGACACTGCACCACCATTTCTCTGGGAAGAAACATTAATAAGATTTCTTTTTACCCCAGGTCCAAAGTAGGAACAAAGCTTCTATATTAAGAAATTTCCAGAGGATTCAGAAATGTCTTCTGAGAATCACCTAAGCATAACTTTAAACCTAGAAGGGACACCCTCTCACCAAACCCAGTAAACAGGTGAGGAAAATGAGGCCCAGAGAGGCAGAGATTTATTTGTGGTCATATCATGAGGTATCACTAATGCTATTGTGACTACTACTATCAGCACCAGCGGAATTTTAGGACTTGGTGTGGGTATTCAAAACCAGCTCCTCAGTTCACTTGAAAAGAGACAGAAATAAAACTGAAATAAGCTGAGGCATGAGATGGGGACTGCACAAGGTAGCAGGTGACTGGGGTAAGGGCACCCAGAGGCAACGTGGTATACCTCAGGCAAGGTCAGAGCTGAGGTCCTTGGTCTGCACTATGCCCTCTTCATCACTGGGAAAAACACCTACCTCCTTCAAATATCATGTCTAAAAATTCCATCTCAAATAATAGTCCCTACTAGTCAAAGAACAAGCATAATTATTTCAAAATGGGGGAGGAAGATACATATGTGAACCCTCACTAATAAGAATAATAAAACCAAAGTTCAAGTTTTGGGTGGTTAATACCATCTTGAAAGAACAGCATTAGTTAAGAAAAATCTAAAAGAAACTTTGTAGTTTAAAAGAAACTTGAAATAACTTTGACCTATCTTCTGTGGCCAGCCCTGAAGTCTAGTAATTACTCCACAGCACTTTTAATAATACATTCACTGCTATCTTCAGAATATGTAATTATTGGCTTGTTGGTCAAGTTTAGAAATCATACGACTATTTCCATAGTCCCATCCATTGTAGAGATTAACTTTACATGAAATAAATACAAATAATGAAACTGTTGGAAATTTTGATCAGATCATGATCTAAATATGTTTCATTGACCAACAATACACATGCAGAATGCTTTTTAAACTTATGCTTTGATGCTTAATCGTCTATTTACCCTCTGCCTTCTGCCCTCAAAAACACATGGGAAGTAATCACAATAAGGCACATTACCTCTATCTCATATAATGAGCTATGGCTTTCAGAACCATTTTCTTTGAGCCAGGCATGGTGGCACACGCCTGTAATCCCAGCACTGAAGAGGCTGAGGCAGGAGGCTTCCAAATTGGAGGCTAGTCTCAGCAATGTAACAAGACTTTGTCTCAAAATAAAAAATAAAAAGGACTGGGGATGTAGCTACATGGTAGAATACCCTGGTTCAATCCCCAGCACACAGGCACAAATATTTTCTTTGAGATTCTCTTTGAAAGCTTGCAGAGCCTTTCAAAATCCAGATTTAGAGACTCCATCTACACTGCTGGTTTAACAACTCCATAGCCCAGCTTCTTCTGGAATTCCCAGAGGCAGCAGTGCCATCTACTGGTAGGGAGGGTACAACTTGTTTTCTGAAGCCTGTGCTTAACACGAACCGAGGACCGAAAGAACAGCAGTAGAGATTTGTCTTTGTGAGGCTTTTTTTTCTAGAGCACATTGCAAGAAAAACTGATGCTTACAGCCCGAGGGAGACACGTAACCTCCACAGGACCCTCTGTAATATGAACCACAGGTCCTCTGGAAACCATATGAAGCCCAGCCAGGATAATTAATACCGAGGCAGCTCTGTCTGGAAATGCCCCTCTCAAGGCTCCAAAGGCAAGCGGCAGAGCCTCACTGAACTCAACATTTCCAGCCTCTTTCCCCCAGTGCTTCCCTATCAGATGATCTCACCCCAGTGCCCCCACCTGTGGCCGCTTTTTCCAGCTTTATCTTACAGCCTGCACCCTAAGGACGGTGCTCAGAGCTTTTCAACATGAAGGCTCTTAATGTTTACACAATGTGACACAGATCCTCCTCAAAGGACATTAGTGCTTAGGCATGCAGGTGGGACTTTAATCTCTCTCATTAGCTCTTCATCCTCCCTGTCCCTGACCCAGGGCGCAGAAAGGAAATAAATTTGTTGTTCCCTTGAAAGTAACACTAGTGGGCTTTTATTGAATCAGAGAATAAAACTTTGTTCCTAAAGGTCGCTGAGGTATATTGCTTCCCTTGAGTTGAACTAAACATGCCAATCTTCCTGTTGCCCTGGCACAACCTAATCAATGTTTCTCAACCGTTGGAAACCCTGCCACTGTTTAAACAAACATTGTATGCCCTTTGTGTAGTTTATATACAAAAAAATTTACATTTTTCTCTAAAAACAAAAGTGCATGGCTTTCTTAAACTATGCCATCTACTTCACCCTTTAAATTCTCTTCCCCACTACATACCAGCTTAAGAAAAAGAAAAACACAAAGTTCTTAAATACTTCCACCAATCTGCTTTGTGTTCCAATCCATCAGGTGACAATCTGTATTTCACTTTACAAGGGTCATTTGTGAAGTACCATTGAGCTTCACAGCAATTTCTGTTCTTTCACATTCCTTCATCTCAGAAAACCACCAAAATTTGACTTGCTGTAGTTGATAAACCTGAAGCTGATATCCCTAACAAATTGAAGTGTCACTTCCTCAAAAAAAGATTTTTTAACTCGTTTGTAAATTGAATTTTCAGCAAAGGAAGACATTTCACAAGTATGGGGTGTGTCTTAGATGTCTGAATATCAGATTGTTTCCTAAAGAAACACAACTCTGTAGGAAGGATAGAGTACCAAAGGGCTTTGAAGTGGTATCAGGATGACTCTGAGAAGTCTGGTGAAGATTCTTGTTCCATCTCATACCAGAGTAAGTCCTGACGGTTGAACCATTTCTTACTGGGTAGTTGCCAGGTATATCCAACTAAATACTTAACCAGTGGAACACGGAAGGGACTTTGTATGTTTCACTATAAGATATACCATATGCCCTTGCTATTGCTAGTCTGGGGAGATGGAGTAGAGGTGGGGGATACCTTGCAGAGTTTAACCAGCTCCTAAACTCCTGGACACGCCCTCACCCTTTTAAAGTATGATTCAAAGTATGACTTAAGGGCTGGAGTTGTGGCTCAGTGGTTGAGTTCTTGGCTAGCATGCGTGAGACACTGGGTTCCATCCTCAGCACCACATAAAAATTAAATAAAAATATTGTGTATCCACCTACAGCTAAAACGTAAATATTAAAATTTTAAAAAGTATGACTTAAGGGAGATATCCCCCCTCCCCCACCACAACTCTTCTGGCAGCCAAATGGTTTAAACATACACTTTTCAAAGAATTAAGGAGGTCTGAGTAGGTTCAATTTAGACCTTGCCTTGCCTCTCCCCATAGCCCATTAACATGCTGAAAATAAGTAGTCACTTGGGCAGCACTAGAAATTTACAGAAAATTACTCCCCCCCTCTCACACACCCCCTTCTTATATTCTTAAAGAAGAATCTCAGTGTGATGGTCTGGTCTGCAGTTCACTGCAGGCATTTCCCTCCTCACCATTTACCAGCCATCAGTTACACTCTATCTGTAATTCTTTTTTTTGTAGCCTCTCATTGAGACCGGCTCCATCAGTACCCAACTGCTTTTAATTTATTTTTCTTTCTTTCTTTTCTTTTTTTCTCGTTTCTTTTTAGTCTCTTAACAAATGTCTGGATTTCTTCAGCAGGCTCAAGGCAATCATTTCGGTGAAACTCTGGGGTGAGAGCTGGCGTTCCAGGTCCAGCGGGCAGCCTTCTCGGAGCAGCACCCGAGGTTCCGTGCACCCACGATGCCCCCACCCGTGCCAAGACTGGCGGCTCTCCTTCGCACAGCTGCGCTAGGAATTCGGCTTCGCTCGCAGCAGCCACCGGATTAGTTCGAGTCCCAGGGGCTCGGCCAAAGTGACAGTACATTTTTTTTTTTCCTACTGTTCTCCCATGTGACAGGTCCCACTGCACGAAAGCCACCTTCTGTCTAGCCCAAGTCCAGCGCCCGTGACGCCCCCGCCCCGCCACCCGCACCCTTTACCTGGGGAGGGGACCGATGCCAGCATCCCTCCCGGCGGGAAACAAAGGCGCAGGCGAGAATGCCAGGTGGGCAACCCCCTCGGGCAGAACCCGCAGCGCAGTGGGGAGGATGGGGAGATGCATCAAAGGGTAGGAAAAGGGAAACCGAGGCAACGACAGAAGCGGCTGAGCTGGGACTGCATCCTCCCCACAGCCGGGCTCCTGGGGCAGGCGGACCCCAGACCTCCCCTGCCCCGCCCAGCTCTGCCCACCCCGGTTTGCGGGAGCGGGCATGGGAGAGACTGGGGGACTGGCCGCTGGCTCTGCTTACCTCCGGAGAAGCGCTCCGGCTCCCTCCGACGGCTCGGGAGAAAGCCCCGCCGCTCGCGCACGCGCACTCGCGCTCTCGCGCCTTCGCCCCTCTGGCCCCCGCGCGCTCCCCTCCGACCGGGCTCTAGCCCGCCCCGGCCCTGTCCGTCAGCGTCCGCGAGAGCCAATCCGGTCGCATGGAATGCCCAGCGCCGGTCACGTGTCCAAACCAGCCAATCACCAAATTGCCCTCGGCAGCGCCCGCTCCGATGTCCCTAGGGGTTCGGTTGCTACCGCGCTGAGCCGGTGCGAGGCTGGCACAAAGGGCTGAGTCTCTGTTTTCCAGGCTGAGTGGTGCTCGCTTGATCAATTACTGAGTCAGGTGATTTCTCAAATTCTAATTTAACTAAGAATCACCCTAAGAATCTTGTTAAAATGTGGATTCTGATCCCAAAAGTCTGGGTGGGGACTCTTGAGATTCTGCCTTTTTAACAAGTCTCCAGGTGGTGATGACGCTGCTCTTGGTCCGAGGACCACAATTGTAGGATCATCCGTCAGAAAATGATGGTTATAGTCCCTGCACATGCTATTTGAAAGTTTCATGACCTTTCTTATCCTTCCTCCAGTGATGAAAAGTATTCCAGTGACTGACAAAAACATGGGATGTCCTGACGACATCTATAGTTTGGTCATGGCTGAGGGAAGGTGTGTTTAATTCCCACGTGACCCACCCATAGGCAGTGGAGTAGCAACTTGTGCCAACTTAATGATTAGAGTCTGGAAACTACAAGCAGAGACAGAATGCTCATCTAAGAGACACTAGGTCTGCCCTCCTGGTAAATGATCAGCAATGGGTGTCTGAGAGACTCTGGGACAGAGCAGAGAAGCCAATGCAAGTGGACCCTGCTTCCTAGAAACATACAGTCTGTCATAGAACTATATAGGCAAGCTCAAAGATGAATACAGGAGAAACATGGAAGGAGCTAACAGGCACCTTGGACAATTCAAGCATAAACAGAGGGGTTGTAAGATAGCCCTACTTGGGTATCTTAAAAATTGTCCAGACACTCTTCTGTCCCTAATTTCAAGTCGGGAAGCCCAGTGCTTCTGACCATCTTTCAAACTTGACCTAAACCTCTGTGTTTTCAGACTAACCAGCTAGATCCATTTGGTATTCAGCATAACCAAGCTCTTATTACCTAACAATGTCCCAGCAAGGTTCAAGAGTTGTAAATGCTAAATTCTCAATACCTTCCTCTACCAGCTTATCAGCTCAGGAAGTATAACACTGCTTCAAGCAGTTATAGCTCACTGTTCATCAAGGTGATCAAACTACTGCTTAGAGAAAATTTCACTCCTGTCAGTGTCTGATAGTTCTGGCTTCTCATCCTGAAGTGAAGCCCACTTAGTTATGTCAGACCTGGTTCGTCACATTGTCCCCATCAGAGATGGCATAACACCAAATCTGGAGTTTCAGACAGTACATTGAACCTAGCATAACAATGGTTCTGGCATCGCCGGAATAAAGGAATGCTTAAGCTAGAACAATTGATTTGAAAACCTCAAAGAAAGATTCTTTTGCATCATTGAACTAGTGATTCTCAAGCCTGACTGTGTGCTATTTAGGGTAATAAATTATGGGGTCCTATGCCTAGGAGTTCTGATTGAGAGAGGAATGAGATGAGGAAGGATAGCTCTAAGTTCAACAAGTATCACAGGTGATTTGATATCCTTGATTGACACCACCTGCATAAGCTGCTAGATTGATGGGCTCATTCTTTAACAAGGAAAAAAAAATCAAATCTGCAAAGCATGCTGTAAACAGAGGAGCATTTCCATAATTTTGAAAATAGATATTTAAAAGGCCAGAAATAATTCATAGGTAATAAATACTCCAAGGACTATTCAGTGGAACAAATTGAAAAGCTAGGTCCACAATTAGGTTTAATTCTAGTGGACTGACAAAATATTTCAGAAAAAAATCTATTGCTTCACTTCTTAAATGCGCTTCTTAACTAAAACCAATTTCCATTTGAGCATTATTAAGAGTTATTCTCTGAGGCTTTTCCCAAAATGTATGTCAGAATCGCCTGGGGTACCTGTTAAAATGCAGATTCCCAGGGCCCAATCCAAAGCTTTCTCTATTTGCCCTTATGTAAAGATCCTGAAGCCAGTACTGGTTAAATGTGAATCCAAGTTGTACCTCCTGATATAGAATATCTATATACAAGCAAACCCTCAAGTAAAACAGCTGTGCTATTAGTTTAGCTTGTCATGCTAGCTAAATAAAGGAATGAGTCTATTTTAGAGGATTCCAAGAGATTCTCAGTTCTTTACAGGAATTTTACCAAATTCTGTTACTTTGTCAAACAAGGTGATCAGTAACTAGATCTTGGAATTCAGTTGCTGCACTGTTTTTCCATGGAGAAATATACGCTGTAGTGGGGTCTGACCTAGTTTTTAACTGAATTACTGAGGTCCCCTCAGAACACTATACCAACAACAGTCATCTTGCTTAAGAGTGATTTTATTTGCAATGCCAGAAATATAGAATCCCTATGTGTGAGCCTGCAAACTAGCTTCCCTCCTCTGACACTTTTAAAAATATATTTCACAGCAACCAAATGAGGGAGAAATGTTCTCACCTTGTAAACCTGTAGCATTATCTATTGGGGAAAATAAGGACACTTTTTACTTATACTTAACTAGCATGAGTAATGTAAATTTTTAAGTAGAAAAAAGCATTTTTTTTTCTCCTTGTGGGTGTCATCTTTGCAGAAAGAGGCAACAGGAAGCAAAGAGATTCTTGAGTGAGGATGTGAATTTGAAAAAAAGAACATCCAGGCTGTCTGTCATTCATTTGGTTTCTTTATATACATAACCTGACTATCCTGTTTCAGGAAATAGATATGTTAGTATGTGATATGAGTTAGCTCGAACAAGTTTCCCTCTCCCAGAAATTGCTCAGCAAGAGATTTATATTTGAAAAGAAAAGAAAGAGATAAGATATAAACCACCCTACCAATTTGCCAACTCCCAGAAACCCACCATTGCTCCATTGTAATCAGAACCCCCAAAGACTGCTTTATAATCACTAATTACATTTTTATCTCTCTAACAATAAATAGCTTCTCTAAACTTAATTGATTTCATTCATGAAGATCCACAAATTACCCAAGATTCTATGAGTCATATAAATCCATCCAGGAGAACATTGTATATCTATGTACTATGTTTTAATAACTGGATACTTTCTTTCCATTTAGCTTTAACCTGCCATAAGACATTTTTGTAGAAAAGTTGGTTTTCTTTATATTCTTTATAGAAATATAGAGATATTTTCTATGGTCCAAAAAATTAAAAGAATATACTACTCTTTTTAATGTTTTTATAAGATAGTTTAGCTTTTAAAAGCATGTAAATAATATGATATACACCTCTATACCACCCCAACTTAAAAAAAAAACATTATAAATAAAGCTGAAACCCCTTCTCAGAAAGTTGATCTGTTAACTGGAGATTTCATGCTTAGCAAACTTAGCCATGAAAGAAAATTGAACTGTATGAAGGTAATAGAAAACACAGTATAAATGGGCAAAATTCTCACCGAATAACATGTTTGGAAGTTCCAAATTGATATAGGAAAACAAACAAGAGCTGAAATTTCATGTGATCCAACACCTGTGTTATACAATTACAGATTTGGACCTGGAAAGCAGGTCACTTTTAGAAAACAACAGAGGTCATTTGGAATAGAGGTGAGGTAAGGAGTCAGTCTCCTTCATCGAATAAATCTGCACTACATGAGCCCTGCCTTTTCTTTTAAGAGAAGTAAGCTATAAGAATCCAAAATAAAAAGTTGTACGTTCCAAATGGGGCACACAGCACTGTCAGGAAGCATGTAGAAAGACCACCAGTTCTCATTAACGAAATTAGGGCTGGTTTTCTGTATTAGGTGAATCCAAATTCTCAAGAACTTGAAAAGTTACCCAGCTGTTATGGACTGAATGTTTGTGTCCCCCAAAATGCATACGTTGCACTTCCACCCCTTTCCCGGTGTGATGGAATTAGAAGGTAGAATCTTTGGGAGATAATTCTGATTAGATGAGGTTATAAGGTTGGATGAGATTAGAGCCCTTATTAAAGTCACCAGAGACTTTCTTCCACTCTCTGATCTCTGTCACATGATGACATAAGGAGTAGGCAATCTGCAACCCAAAGAGGCCCACCAGAACCTGATCATGCTAGCACCCTGACCCCCAGCGTTTAGACTGGTGAGAAATTAATTCCTGTTGTTTATAAACTATCCAGTCTATGGTACTTTGCCATAGCAGCCCAAATGGACTAAGCCACCAGAAAATGGCACAAGGAAGGATGTCATAGGATGAGGGAATAGCCCGTACAAAAGAACAAGAAGACAAAGCTTAGCACAAGAGCATAGAACATTGGGGAAGGAAAGCTAGTTTAATTTGACTGGATATGGGAGGAGAAGAGAGAAAAATTAATACTTGAAGGTGGAGCAAAAACCAAAATTCAAGGATGGCAAATGCAGGATCTGTTATTCCTCCCTCTTCTTGGACATATGGCAGAATTAGTCAACCATGGAATTGAATTTTACTACAGTGATTATTAGAAGAACCTAGGGCCATATGAACTAGGTTAAACTCCCAGCTTCTCCTCTTACCATCTGTGCAAAACTGGACAGTTTGGCCTTTGGAAGATATTGGTTAAGTGGTTTGCACAATTTTTCTGTCTCTAAAATGGAAATAATGGCAATGCAATGTCTCTTACAGTTGTGAATGAGTTATAAATAATTGAAAGTGTTATAGCAGTGTTAAACTAATGATAGCTATAATCAGTATTCTCAGAAACTAGATGTAGCCTCAAACTCCTCAACCTAGGGTTATTGGCATCCCACTTCAACCAATCAGAATTGGTACCAGGGGAACCTCCCTGTCATTTCTGGTATCTGATGCCTCTGATTTATAGCTGACCCCAGTGCCACTCACCAGTACCAATTCTTATCCAACATTTATGCAAGTTCTCTATGATGAAA